CAGAACGCACAGCAGAACGCACAGCAGAACGCACAGCAGAACGCACAGCAGAACGCACAGCAGAACGCACAGCAGAACGCACAGCAGAACGCACAGCAGAACGCACAGCAGAACGCACAGCAGAACGCACAGCAGAACGCACAGCAGAACGCACAGCAGAACGCACAGCAGAACGCACAGCAGAACGCACAGCAGAACGCACAGCAGAACGCACAGCAGAACGCACAGCAGAACGCACAGCAGAACGCACAGCAGAACGCACAGCAGAACGCACAGCAGAACGCACAGCAGAACGCACAGCAGAACGCACAGCAGAACGCACAGCAGAACGCACAGCAGAACGCACAGCAGAACGCACAGCAGAACGCACAGCAGAACGCACAGCAGAACGCACAGCAGAACGCACAGCAGAACGCACAGCAGAACGCACAGCAGAACGCACAGCAGAACGCACAGCAGAACGCACAGCAGAACGCACAGCAGAACGCACAGCAGAACGCACAGCAGAACGCACAGCAGAACGCACAGCAGAACGCACAGCAGAACGCACAGCAGAACGCACAGCAGAACGCACAGCAGAACGCACAGCAGAACGCACAGCAGAACGCACAGCAGAACGCACAGCAGAACGCACAGCAGAACGCACAGCAGAACGCACAGCAGAACGCACAGCAGAACGCACAGCAGAACGCACAGCAGAACGCACAGCAGAACGCACAGCAGAACGCACAGCAGAACGCACAGCAGAACGCACAGCAGAACGCACAGCAGAACGCACAGCAGAACGCACAGCAGAACGCACAGCAGAACGCACAGCAGAACGCACACCTGAACGCACACCAGATCGCACACCAGATCGCACAACTGAACGCACACCAGAACGCACACCAGATCGCACACCTGAACGCACACCTGAACGTGTTTGTGCTTGTGCTTACCAAGGCTGCAATTATTTGATCAAAAATACAGTGAAATATTATTGCAATTTAAAACAGCTGTTTTCTATGTGAATATCTGTTAAACTGTAATGTATTTCTGTGATGCACAGCTGTATTTTCAGCATCATTCCTCCAGTCTTCAGTGTCACATGATCTTCAAAAATCATTCTAATATGCTGATTTGCTGCTCGAGAAACATTTCTGATTATTATCAATGCTGAAAACAGTTGTGCCGCACAATATGTTTGTGAAAACCGTGATAAATTTCAGGATTCACAGATGAATAGAAAGTTCAAAAGAACAGCATTTATTTGAAACTGAAATGTTTTGTAACATTGTAAATGTCTGTACTTTAACTTTTGAGCATTTTAATGCATCCTTGATGAATAAAATCATTATTATTATAATTTTATTTTACTGACCACAGACTTTGCAACAATAGTGTGCACTGCACTGAAGGTAAGCACTGTTCAGTTCATTCATTCTCCGGGAATCAAACCCGTGTTTGCTCTGCTCTTTCAGCTACAGAAGCAGCATTACTCTGATGTGCAAGGAAATGGACAACCAATCCAGATCATTTGTCCACTGTGTTTTGTGTGTAAATATTAATTTACTTCTCTCAAGCGGTCACTTTTTCCTGCGCTCCTGTGTTCCTGGAAGACGGATGAGAACGGCTTGATTGATGATCTTCAGGCCACATTGTGAAGAGACTGAGATGAGGAGACATGCAGAACTGAACTGACTGAAAACAGCTCGGTCTGTCTTTGAACCATCAGGGTTTGTCTTCGCTAACACTGTATTTTGATGTCCACTTTAGACATTCTACTAACTATAAGTGAACTTCATGTCAACTAGCAGTCATTAGAGTATTAGTAAACTGTCAGCTTTTATTTTGATGGACATTCTACTGGCTGTGAGTAACTTTGCATCTCAACTCAATCTACTAACCTTTCATTTACATTTAGTCATTAGCAGATGCTTTTATCCAAAGTCACTTACAAATGAGGACAATGGAAGCAATCAAAATCAACAAAAGAGCAATCATATGCAAGTGTTGTGCAAGTCTCAGTTAGCTTAACGCAGTACACATAGCAACGTTTTTTAATTATATAATAAATAAAAAGAAAACAGATAGAATCGAAATAGAATAGAGCAAGCTAGTGTTAGAGGCCTTTTTTTTGCTTTTTGTTAATTGTATAATAAATAAAAAGAAAACAAATAGATATAATACAAAAAGAATAGAGAAGCTAGTGTTAGTTTTTTTTTTTAAAGAAAACAAGCAGTTAGTAAATTAATAGAGTGCAAGTCTAAAAGGGGCAAGTATTTATTTTTTTTTATTGAAAGAATAGAATTAGAATAGATAGTGCTAGAGTTAGAGGGTTAAATAAAGATGGAAGAGATGTGTTTTTAGCCGATTCTTGAAGATGGTTAAGGACTCAGCTGCTGGGATTGAGTTGGGCAGGTCATTCCACCAGGAGGGAACAGTTAATGTAAAAGTCTGTGAAAGTGATTTTGTGCCTCTTTGGGCTGAACAATAAAGCGCCGTTTACAGTTTACTAATACTCTAGTGCGAGTTAGCTGACATGTAGTTGCAAAGTTACTCATAGTCAGTAGGATGTCTAAAGCGGACTACGGAAATAAAGTGTAATCTGGTGTTCATGTTGTATATCCAGCATCAGGATCATGTCAGAAATAGCAGCGCTGAGGTCCAGACCACGAGTGGAAACCATCCACAGGTTCCTGTTGGTTTCTGGAGCTGCTCTAAATGACTGCTTCTCTTCACGCGGTCAAGAGCTCTTTAACCCCTCCATCTCTGCATCAGACGCACTCAATCACACACACGCTACATTTCATCTGTCTGTCCTTTGTCTGAAACGTTCCCTCTCTTTCTTTCTCTTTCCCGCTGTAATGGATTACATATGTTCCTCATTTAAGTGAGGCAAGTGACTGTGATTTATTACTGTAACACAAAGACTCAACAGAGCTGATTCAGATGAGAAAGAGCGGTCTGACAGACTAACAGAGGATCTGCAGAGAGATAATCAATAGATCGTCAATGAAAGTGGCTCTGATGATAGTGAAGATGAAAGAGGACATGCAGGTGTGTGTGTGTGTGTGTGTGTGTGTGTGTGTGTGTGTCAGCAGTCGAATCACATCAACAACGTCTCGATTATTCCTTGAGATTCAATGCTAAATTCTCAGATGTTTTTCCTGAGAAAAAGTAACTTGCCTCCTGTAGAGTTTCCAAAAAGAGTCAACAACGTCTCAAGATCTCAAAGCCTGCAATCACAAGTCACTGCTATCTTTATATAACTGGCTGTGTCTTGGGATTTTAGGGAAAAAACCCTCTGATACTCGATGAGATGTAACTGAGAACCTCATCGAGCTTTGAAAGAGAAGCTGTGAGCCGCCCCACGGCAGAAAAGTGAAAACTGCTCCTACAGAATGAAAATCAACACACAGCTCATTCACACTGTAAGGGAAACAGGTCAATTTAGCTCAAAGGGAATCATTTAAGATTTTAAAGGGAATTTGGACAG